CAAAAAAAATCTTAGACTTACCGGCTACAACTTCGTTGTTAGCAATATGGATATTTGATTGAAAATTGGAATTTGATTAAATCTAAATAAGCATGTCATCTCTATCTTTAAACTTATGTTGAATATCGAAAGCAAAACAACTAAAACTGTTATGAGAAGTACATTACCTTCCAGATAGTTGTAGCTATGCTTCATGATATTCAAGACAACAATTTTAGAATAGTTGCGAGTACTATTATCAGATTATTAGAGGTCAAACTGGCATTCAACTGCTTGTTTAAATTTAAATCAAATGCTGATCTTTAATCAGGATATATTAATACTAAGTTGAAAATTATCGAGAACTTTCATCTTATTTGGACATAAAGTTGCGGTTTTTGAACGTATAACCATTAACTTGATTTGCTGCAACAACACGTTTAATCTTAGATTAATAAGTTAGTGAAGTTTCTGACATGTTTATAAACAAATGTGAATGTATAGACTCAGATAAACAGATATGGAATGCAAATTTTCAGTTTATTTGATAAAATTAAGTTTTTTACCCTATTTCATGGCGATGAATTGGATTAGGCTAAAATAATAAATATTGAAAATTCAGAATACAAAGAATGGTGAGGAGGGTGAAAATTTCATTAAGGATCGAAAGTGTAATGTGATATTATAACCGAAATACTTCCATTTTAATTTACAATTAAGAAATTGACGAAGTTCAGATCTTTTGTCCTCGCAAAACGCATAAGAATTCCTCTGCATAACAGATGGAAAATGCGGAAAGCTGTATTCAGGAAATTCAGATCGTTCTCTTACATTAAAGAATGCAATTATTTCATTTTAGCGTATTTTCCATGTGTGGCGCAAATTGATGACAAAATACTGCAATGATTATAACAACTGATATCGTTGACATGAATTTACCTATGGATTCGTCCATTTTATTACATAAATCATAAGCTACTTTGTAATGGCAACTGAATTAAAAGATATTATATTCAAAATTGTTGTAGAGGTTTCTGTGAAATTACGGAGAGTATATAGTTTATTAATCAACTGGTCGATTAGAGGGAAGAGTTTTTTAATTATAAAATTACAAGCAAACTCTTTTTTAACTTCTAAATTTTTGAAAAATTCAAGAATTCACCCGTAATTTTATAATTATTCTGCATATCAATTTCTAGTTTTGTTATCTTTTCGATGAGCAATATCAATTAGCAGTCTAATACAAATTTTAACTTCTTTTACTTTTGCACTTAATTTATTCTGAGTTTGAGATAATCCAGAATGCAATACTCTAAAACTTTATCCAACTGATTTAATAATTCAGATAATTTTTTTAATGCAGACGTTTTGCAACAACCAACCGTGCAATTGGTTTTTAAAAAACAAATTTAAAGTGTCTTGCTTACTTGAAAAATAGACTATAATTAACATATCATTCTAAATATTCACTGAGAAATAGTAATAATATACAATCATTACTAGCGAGAAAAATAAAAAATTAGAATTCTAATGATTCTAATAAAAGAACAAAAAATTAACTTTGATATTATTTTGCTAATCAGTTGATTGTTAGTGTTAACGAGGTTAATGTACTCTTTTTTTAAAGCTGCTTTTTTAATCAAAAATCGTAAAATCCTAACCCCATTGTAGATTTTCTATAATTTCATTGATTCACCGGGATATCAACAGATATCGCAATGTCTAACATCATTCCACCAAATCAATATGAAAAGTTCATGTGATTTAATGTGTATTTTATTGTATTTTCACTCACTTTTGAAATTTCGTCTTTCATAAGAATCTATAAAGGATTGCAGTCATTTTTTCATTCTTCACCGCAAATTTTCAAATTTCTTAACCGATTGATTTGACAAAGTTCTTTTTTACCTATGCCACTGAATGCGCCAAACCTACAGACCAGGCAAACTCAAATTTTAGAATTTGCTAGCAATAATTTGAAAAAATGCCTCAGGGAAAATTGTAATGACCAAAATAAAATAACATAATTGTGATAGACTTTTGTAACTGTCGAAAAAAAAGAAGCAGAAAAAAACGCACGATTTTCCTGAGATATCGTACTTTTTAATTGCCCGCATTATCATTCCAGATTGTCTAAAGAATCTTAAACTTTCAACTTCTTTGAATATAACTTCCAACTTCTTTGGAAGAAATGTTAAACCTTTCTTAGTTACGGAAAGGGTGATCAATATATATATTTAATTTCTGGAGTTAGAAGGATCAAAAAACACGTGTGATTTTTCTGGGAGGCGTGATTTGCCATTACTCTAAACACTTTTTAAATAACTTCCCTGGTAGGACGACAAATTTTGACCATTTAGAGAACTGTTTAATAAATTTGCTTGAATTAAATTGATTAATTAGAGAAAGAAGTTAGAGTGACTCACGAGTTATTATTTCATATTTGCTTTTATCATTCTTTTTTTCTTCATTTTATATTTGCAGAATGATAAAGAGGTAAATATTAATGGATATAATCCTCAAACTATTTTAATGCTGAAATCGAATGGTATTTGTGTTTCGTGTTAATATCTCAAAATATTTTTAGGATTCCCATGTCGATTGACATTGTAAGCAGTGAAAATGAATCTATGAAGACGTCATTGTCAACAGATCCAATTAGTAAAGAAAGCAAGAAGGTTTGTTGATTTCATGTCTTTCTTATATTTCACTGATCTCTTATACCTCTGTTCTGCCTTTCAGTGATTCTTCGCACTATCACAACATTCAATGGTACTAGTGATAATTTATTTTTGAGTTAAATGTCCCCGATGTACCGGTATGTTTTATTATGTAATAACATAATTAGTAAATTTTAGCATCAGCCAATAACCAAGACTAACGGTATCACTACAAAAACATTACATTTAGGGGTGTGTTGAGATCTTTTTTCAAAAATATTAAACACAAATGTTATTCCAGAAACTGATATAAAGTGATGAGCTTTACTTTCTGTTTTTGCTAATAAACCAGTAATAATTTTAAACAATTTCCATTGCACCTTATTAGGCTATTAAATATTCAGATATATAGCAAATTCTATTAGAGAATTGAGTGCCAAACATATTAAAACATTCGGTTATTTTTAATGAGGAAACAAATTTTGGTACAAGTTTATCATCACTTTAATGGAATTTGTCTTTTAAATAATTAAATAAAATAAACTGGATAGCAACAGTTAGTAGTGCAATATTTGAGAGGTTTTTCTTTTTGATTTATATATCAATATCTTTGGTTATAAGTTTGGAAGTCTAAGCTCATAAAAGTTCAACACCAAAACTTCTTGAAAGTGAGAATTAAATGGAAAGAATGATGTGGAGATTTTTAAAATTTCAAGATTGAATCTGGGATAAGTTCAAATGGACAGCAAAAGGGAATTGGTTGGTTCGTGGCTTCGATGTTCATTTTAGGCGATTTAGTCGGTGGTGGTGTTGTTGCAATGCCTGTCGCATTCGCTGAAACAGGTTTTGTTTAATTGAAGAATCAAAAATTTTGTAAAAATTTACTTTCATTTTTCTTTTTTTTGAATAGACTTATCCCAAATTTTGGAGGTAATTGAAAATAAAGAATGTTTTGAATTTTAATAAGTTTTCATTGCTAAATTTTCGAGAGTATGCAAAATAATAAACATTTTAAGACATAATTTTGGTTTGTTAAATAGATAAGAGATAATAGCTGACACCTCAAGAAATTTCCGATCACTCGAAGATTAGCAACAATTCAATATATCATTAATTTAATGTCTCTTGATGTTACTGACTTTAGGTCAATTATTGCAGGATTTGTAATGGGCATACTGTTTATGATAATCATTTGCGCAATTTTTGTAACAACCGGTTGGCTACTTGCTGACACGTGGGAAATTATGCGTGAGCGATGGCCGGAATATCGTAAACATTGCCGGAAACCTTTTTCAGAGATGGCTTTAAGAAGCATGGGCAAGCAATCAGAGTTTGTCTTAATTTTTCTTTTTGATTGACTTCTTTGTCATTTTCAAAATTTTTATATTTTTAATTTCATGTTTGATTGTTTGAAATTTTTTTCTGTTTCGGAAGTTTCTAACAATTTTTTCAAAAATTACTTTCAGTTGTTTGTTTTCTTTTTTTCTAATCACATGTCGTATTTCTCTTTTCAGAATAATTACTAAGATTACTGTCTATTCAACTCTATTCGGTGCCACTGTGGTTTACATACTTCTTTCCTCCAAGATAATACAAAAATTTCTGGCTAATTTTGATGTGAATTTTAATTTTTGCTTGCTCCTTTTTCTTGTTACCATATCTGTATTACCCGTCACATTTCTTAAATCACCAGCTGATTTCTGGTAATTTCCTTTTCTTTTCAATCTATTTCCAATTCTATTTATGGCATTTAGAAATCCATATATGTTAGACTTTCTTTCACCCAACAAAGTAAAGGCCTAATCTTTTTTTGATCTGCCTAACCAAGAAAATTTAACCCTTATTTTGTGAGCCATTTCTCAATTCCAATTTTAGAAGAAATTTCAACAATTTTTCATAGCCACTGAATAGATAATTCATTTTCAGGTGGGTAATCGTTATTGCTGTTGTTTGTACCGTTATAACAATCGTTATGATATTTGTTGGTATTAGTTTGGATTTTAACGACTGTTATTATGAGGCTCAGTATTCAGACATTTCAATAAATGCCATTCTTGGCTTGGGCATTTTTTTGTTTGCCTTCAACGGACATCAAGTCTTCCCAACTGTGCAAAATGATATGCATAATCCAACGGATTTTAAAAAATCAGTTTTGGTTGGATTCATCTGTTAGTTTTATTTAAAATTGTTATATAAAAATTTCTTCTTGCAAAAATTTTGAAAGATTTAGATTATGAATAATTGTTTGGTATGCAATATTGGTGACTGCTTTTGTAATAGAAAATACTACGTAGACTGATAATCGTAACTGCAGTATTATTTACATTTTTCGATGTTCCTAGTCTCTCAGGATTTCAGGAATTAATGTGTCATTCAGGTTGAAATTTAAGTATGTCTGAATTTTAGTTGCGGCATTACTTTATATGCCTTTATCTGCGTATGCATTTCTCGTATATGGTGTCAGTATGGCAAACTCGGTAATAGATTCAGTGCAAACAGCCTGGATCCGTTACGCTGCTGATTTATCCTTGGCGATACATTGCATTCTTGCTATCATTATCATTGTAAATCCGATCAATCTACAATTGGAAGACACTTTTAATGTACCACATAGTGAGTTATTTTTCTGAAATAATTCAAACCGTTATTCAAAATCTACTAAAAAGTAGAAATTAAAGATCATGAGGTACTATCATATACAGTACCATCGCAGAGATGGAAAACTTCTGGCAATATTTTACAATTTCTGAATTTAACCAAGATTACTACATGGATGGCCTAGATTTGCAGGAACATCAGTACTCTTTGTTCTGATTTGTTACAGAATTCTGTCTTAAACGAGTGATAGTCCGCACAAGCTTATTGCTTCTATCATTATTTGTCTGTCTGTCTCTCCCGAATTTTGGTTCTGTAATGAATTTATTCGGAAGTACCACAGTACCGTGTACATGTGTTATTTTACCAACCCTATATAATATTTATATTAAAGCTGCTACCTATGATAAAAAGAATGATGCATGGATTGTACCGACATTTCGTGAGTAAGTCTTTTAGCATATCCTAAAGTGATTTTTTATTTATTATTAAACTATAAACAGTATTAATTATTCACTGACTATCTGCAATGTTTTATCATTCGAGGAGAAAAATACATCTGCAAAAAATAGCTTTTACGAATAAATTACTTACGAAATTTTAGAATGCTGCAAAAGACGTCAAAAGTTTTACTTTCAATTTCAATACTCATAAATGGTATGTTCAAGCAAAATAACTTTTTAAATATCGTTAAAAAACAAACCTATCCATAATCGAACGTACTTTTACTGTATAGAATTATTGTTACAAAATCATGACATTAGTGAAGATTGCAAAAAATGGAAGTGTTTGCTGAAGCGGAAATAATTTATCATGTTAGTTTAATTTTATTTAAATCCAATTTTCAATCAATTAAATGTGACGGAATTTTACAGTTATAACTGTAATTTGTTCCGTGATCGCCACTGCATTATCTATTAAAGAAATATTAGGAGTACGATTCACTCCACCATGTTATGTTCTGCCATTTTTTGGAACCCATTTGGATGCTGACGTGCTCAATTGCTGTGGAATGTTCCTGAACATTTCCAAATTCGGCTATCAATGTGGTGCACGATTGTATGCTTTCGTTTTTATGCTTTCCATAAATCTCACTTTTGATAGGTTTTCACTCATATGTTTGCAAATAAATTTATATAATTATAAATTTATTAGCGATAATTACGTTTGCACATTCAACTGCAAACATAAATAATTTTTTAGGGAAATTTATTATTGATATACTGAACAATTCTTGTTAATAATATACTTGTCAAATCTTAGCCAACACCAAAATAATATCAATTTCTTTCAATTTCTGCCTTTAAATTAATATAATTTTCAGTTGAAAGAGAAATACTGCGAGTATTCAATTTATTAAATATATTGATCGCCATAATTATAAGCATATAATTACAAAATAAAAAAACGATGAATATTTAAAATTTACTTTCTTCGCTTCATATTACTTTTTATTCTTACCAGGAAAAAACCATGGACCAGATTCTGGGTATTTTAATATACCATTAACAACACATCTATTAAGAATAATGATTTTAATTTTAATTATAAAATGAACAGGTCCTTGTATTTCAATCAAAGCTTTTTCTTTCACAGCTTTGTCACAACTGTGTTATTCAAAATTGATACTCGTTATTATTCACATTTGTATTATTCAAAATTTGATAATTTATTACGTTCAGTTTTGCACTGTGGAAATTAACAATTGTGGATGACTTATTTACAATGTATATCAGGTAGAAAGAGTTGGAAAAATGTATGTTTTAGGATAACGTGATCCGTCGTTTACTATCTTCTGATTCATAGTATTGTGAAAATTTTGCGTCACGAAAAAAAAAATTTATTTGTGTCACAACAGCAAAGCAAACTTTCATTGATTCAATAATAAAATTGAATATTATTAGATTATCGAGATGTTTTGAAAGTAGAAAATTTTTCTGCACCTTCTGCATTTTTCATGCCTAATATAAATCATTGCGACCAAAAACGTCCTAAGATCAATTTTATACAAAATCTAGAAAATTGATTGAGAAGAAAATGTTGCGTAGAAAAAACATATCCCTAATTGAAAACTGGTTCTTTCAAAATTATCAAAACAACCAAAGAGAAACTTCTCATTAATTGCTTATAAGTAAACTGCAAGAAACTTGTCTTTTTTATTATTTGTTTGAAGAAGTATACGAAAAAAAATTAATATTTCATTAAAAATTTAATATTTGAATAAATTTTTGTAATTTTATGAAATCATTTGTTCAAAGTATCAGATCTCAGTAATAACATGTTTATAATTAAGAACTATCTCAATTAACATTTTGGTTGTTCGATTTAGTATTGTTGAAAGAAGCATAAATACATTTCATATTGAAAAATACAACTTTTCATGACATCTTTCCAAGACCAAAATGAAAAGCAATATAATTGATTAATCATAAATGAGTTTTTAAGTTTATATAATGTTTATAATTTATATAAAAGCAATCTTAAGTTTATATGAATGTCTCCATAAGTTTAAAATTTCAATAAGTGAAAAACATAAATGCTAAAAGCATATGATTCATTCTGAATCTGACCGAAAATTAAGTCAATTTCATTTCTATTATTAAATGATGATAATTATAGACTGTCACGGAATATAAATAAACTAATTGATACCATCTTATTATTTGAGCAGACAATACAGTATACTTGTCTTCAACGTTATTTTTTTGTAATATACTTCAATTTTATTTTTTGATCATAAGGCGTTGTAGTTGTGAAAAATAAAGTGATCGAAAATGTGAGCAGTGATGTTGATTGAAAGTGTTTCATGAAATTCCTTTTAGTGAATTCAAAGAGTACACAATGCTCACCAAATTATCAATTATTTTTCTTTCATATTATGTACAATATTAAGGTTGTTTCGTAGCATTTTTTTTCTTCATTATCAATTTGTAAATGTTCTATCGTTCTTGCAAATGTTTTTAAAGATTTTGTAAAAAGGGTCCAACATTGGATGAAATAATAATGTGATCCAAGTGAAATATGAGTGAAACATTACAAAAGAAAAACAATGGCTCAAAGTTTCTATTGATCTCAGAACAGCATCTTTATTTGCCTTCTCGGATATATTTCTTTACTGTTCAATATGTTTTGCTTAATTTGTTATCTGATACATTAGTAAGCTTCTAAACAATACCATGATCGTTTCCTTAGCTGAAAAGGAAGCAAAAAGGCTCAAAATAAATAAAAACTGGATTTAAGTATAAATAAAATTATAATTGTAGAAAAACGTAATTAATATATCGGTGAGTTCACTTTATATTTTTTTGATATATGTGCACAATCAAATGGTAAAGTTGAATTACATTTTTTAACGGATATATTAATCAAGCTTTTCATCTGTGCAGTACTTCTGCACTTCATTTATAAAATATAATTCTGATATAGAGTATTTGCAAAACAAAAAATATTGTAACGTTAAAATTTATTCCTTTATTTATTTCTGCAAAAACTATATATCTTTCAACTTTAAATCTGGAAAAGGGAAAGAAAACTGGAAGAAATATAAAAAATTTTGTAGCGCAAATGCTCTTATGCAAATAACTTCCATGAAATTGTCCTACAAATTGCGTTGTCCGTGTGTCACTCTCTTTCATCTTCACCCTTCGATACGGAGAGTTATTATCATTCTTCGATACATGGGGAATTTAATACTGAATATATTAACAAAAGTAGAATTTTTGGCACGCATAATTTTAATTCATTGGAATTTGTTTGTCTTTGAAATTGTGTTGTATTATTGTATACTTTAATGTTTATTATCTAATGGAAAGTTTCACTGAAATTTGTTTTTTAGTTTTATTGAATTCTACGCAAGCATTTGTTAAGTTCCTGTCCCTTAAAAAATCTCAATCTTTAAATTTGATAAAATCATGAAGCAGAAAACCCACAATCATTTTTAACTTACAAAACGGATAACGTCAAAGATTTATTTCTAAATCTTTGACGTTATCCGTTTTGTTTGCATATCAAATAATATCAAAAACGTTCCTCTCTGCTTTTCACTAAATTTATTACACGCCAAATGTCAAATATTATAAAAAACGAATGATCTTCAGAAATCAAATTATATATTTTTTACAAGCCAAATATCAATATTATAAAAAAAAACGAATGATCTTCAGAGATCAAATTATATATATATATATTTTTCGTAAGGCTGCAAATAATAAATTTGAAATCCTATTTGATTTTTGTCTTTTCAAAAGAAGATTTTTATATACCATAAAAATTTTTTGCTTTTGCTTTTGGTATGTTACTGACAGTAGGAAAAACTAATAATATCACTGTCGTATAATTTTTTATTCATTTGATAATTTTCCTAAATTTGTAAGAGCGAATAAAAAGCTTTTCTATTTTTCCGATCTGCTTAGCATTGTATTCTCATTTGTTTACCATTTAAAAAACTTTTATCTCTGCGAAGTTCTTCTCAACCTTTGATCCCGCAAAATCTAATTTTATCCCTCCTATTTCTTCCTTTCCAACTTTTTTCACTCATATAATTCAAACATAATGCTTTGAATATTTTTTGTAGTTATTTTAATTCAGCAATTATTCTTATCAAATAAACACTGGTACATATTTATTGAATTGTTATCGAAATTCATTCATAAAATTGGACATCTTCACGACTTTACAAACTTCTATCGTTGTCATTGTTACGATGCATAACTCCATTATCATCCTATCATCCTTATTATTATCTTTATCATCCTATCATCCTCATCATTATTATTATCTTTTCAGAACTTAACAGATATACCACCTTTATGTTATCATTCTTTCGATTCTTGTACCAATATCACGATATACAAACTTGTCAATTAAAAAATCGATCCTCTGTATGTGATGACACATAAAGTACGAAGAGTTTAGAACCATTATCAATTTCTTATTTTTCGATGGGCCAAATGCATCACTTGTGGAAAAATGATTAACCTTCCAGCATCACATTCTGTGAGAGTTAATTTTTACAAAATTGAAATGTAAACCCATTAAATTTCCACTTTAATTTTGTAAAAACATCAAGCATCTTGCAAACATTACATTCATTTCAATTCAATAGAAATATGAAGCATCTTGCTTACTGAAGTTGCAATAAGCTGTATTTTTGGATCGAATCAGTCCATGCAGTTTGCACAAACCATCAGACATTTTCAACACTGCTTCCTAATTATTTATTTTTTCTCTCTTAATTATCATTTCATTATTACCTAACATATATTTAACCCCGCCTCATTTTATCAATACATGCCGCCTTATGAGGACTTCATAATTGCTTCCTCCTGCATTTTTGAATTTTTTTTAACATTATACAGTCCAGTAATTTTAAAAAGTTGATTATTAAGAAAAATGCGTTTTTTAGGAAATCGTCTCTCAACAAAATTGATCTATTAGAAATTTCTAACAAAATTTCTATTAATTTCATATTTGTATGCATTCTTAATTCGTTACATTGCCTGCAATCGTAAGCAACGAATTTGTTGTTTTTCCTGCTCACGTGAAGAAATTTTTTAAAAATAGGTTTCAGTTTACATGATTGACTGTTGAATAAATAAGGATTTGAACAAATGGTAGTATTGAAAACTGGTAATGAATTCTCGGATGCGTTTAGTGGGCAATACGATCAAAGTGCCATCGATAAGTTTATCAGTACCATTTTATGCAGGTATTGAGCGATTTATTAATAAAAATCAATGAATGAGCAAAAGACAGTCAGTAAAAAAAGGAAATGAAAAACAAAAATAACTGTAATTACAGATATTTTGTACACAAAAAATTTATTTTTTGATCTGAAAGGATCATTGTTGCTTTTCATGTTCAACTTTTTCCAATTTCATTTGAAATTAACGCTAAAATTGTTTTCAGGGGTGATTTCGCCAAGCAAAAGCTTGACGCAAGACCGGTTTCCTTTTTTCAACTGGTATTTCTATTTATTTCTCTTTTTATAATTATTCGTCAAAATTTTTTAATTAAAGAAGTTAATGTTCATTTCTATGAATTATTTTTTTGTCAAAAAATTTAAATCTAATTGCTATAATCTTCCAGTTCCGATTCGCGACAATATACGATCGGTTTATCATGACAGTTGGTGCCATACTCGCTATAATTTCTGGTATATGTCAACCGACGATCTGTTTGATTTCTGGTGAATTAGCAAATATCTTATTACTCACAAAAAATGCGAGTTTTGATTCCTTTAATTTTTCTTAGTTTTTAAAGTCCATATGATGAACTTCATCTCGAGATTTTTCATTTATCACTTATTGCTTAATATCTGATTACATCTCTAATTTCTTGGCCAAATATTGACGTGAATATTACTTTTTTCTGGTGAAAGAGAATTAGTCTTATTTTACATAAAATTAAACATAACTAAAGTTCGAAGCATTTTACAGTTTGAAAAATCTGACACGTTTTGGTACCAAGCTTATGTATACATTTATCTTTATGCATCAGTCGGAGTTTCGATGGTTATTGTCACCATTACACAAGTTTGTTTTGTTTTATTTCAAATATTTTTGTAAACTTTTTTAATTTCGAAAAAACGAACTTTGAATTTCCAAAAGAAAGCATTGCTATATAGAAAAGACAGAAAAATAGAACGATCCGATTCTTTGAATTTGGACAATTTCATTCTAAATCCGATACTTTGTGACCTAAGACAATATTAATTCATTGCTGTCCATATTAATTTCAGTATATTTGCTTGAAAATTGCATCTTTAAATATAACATGCACGATGCGAAAGGAATACATGAAGTCATTATTACGTCAGGATGCGGCATGGTTTGATCAACAGAAGACCGGAACGTTGACTGCCCAACTGAACGCGTAAATTTCATTATCATATATTTAGAAATTCTTGCGGATGTTGTAGAAATTGATTTGGATTGATTTAGTTTGACTCGGTTCGGGTTTGGATTTGATGCGATGGGATGGGAGTTCTTGAGATTCTTTATTATTGACAACACAATGAATAAAATAACAGTTGAAGAGAAATGAAGCAGAGTTAAGATCAATCAAGTGAGGAACTCCGGGACGGTAGAACTTGCCCGTGGATGATAACGGTGGCCTTTTAAAGGATTGTTTATTTGGGCGTGGTGATATAAAGTGATTGATAAAATGGTTCATTACAGGATAGCTATGAGAAAGATATAGTTTTTATAAAGGGAATAAGGTGATGATATAACGAATAAAGATGGGAACGGATGTGTATTACAAG